ATATACGATATTGATTGCAAATTAATTCAGGATGTAGATTATCTATGTGAAAGAATTCAATAATCTTAATAATAAGAATATCAGAAAGAAATTTTTCTATTTAACAGAGATCAATAAAGCTTGGAATTGAACGCATGCTCAAGTATTTATCAAGATACCATTTAAAAAAATTAATTTATTAATTATGTTCACTCAAAACCTGTTCAACAATGGTCTTTTATCAGCATATTTCAATTTTTTCATCTCCAATCAAAGCAGTTAGATTTTAAGGGGACATGAAATTACATTTTTTATATACTACAATGGACGTAAGCTCAATTTCAAAATTGCTTTACTCGACTTGTATTTCAGAGCAGTTAAAAAAATACTTCTGATGTGATTGAGATGATGTCAATCATCATCAATCAATCAATCAATCATTACATCAACTTGATATTTTGTTATTTAAGATTTTCACGAGCACTGACCTTTGAAAGTTAAAAAGTGGTGTTATATTTCAAATATTTGGATTATATATAAATCAATGTGGCTTGCAATATATTAAAAAGAAATATCAATAAATCTCAATATTTTTTGTAAGAATGTTTACATCTAAAAAATGAATTGAAAAACTCACCAAGTTTTTTAAAGATAGAGAATAAATCAAATATTTTTTTATATATGTAGAATTGTAGAATTTTTTTAATTTTTTAAAATATGATTTTTAAATTGAAAAATTCAGAAGAAAGTTGAACTTTTTATGAATATTTTACGATCGAAGAATGCAATCGTCATAGCATGATGTAAATTAATTTTCTTATATTCATGAAATGCATTATTGATAAAAAAATTCTGAGAATGAATTTTTCAAGACACTATTTTGTCCAAAGAGAATTTTGTGAAACAGATATACTGAAATATATATATAGAACATTTAAAATTAAAAAATTATTCTATTTGCAATAAACTTAAAAGTTAAGTAACTCTAATGAAGTGTTGATAATTGAATAAGTTTACGCAAAATGCTTCAGAAATGTAAAAATCGCTCCGGAATTTCACATAAAAATGAGATTCTAGCTTAAGTTACTCATAAGTTGTAATACAAAGCTTAGAATGTTTGAAAATTTTAAATTTTTTCAAAGCTTTATTTAAGTAGAAGCAATAAATCCCTCTTTTGTATCCTGACAAGCATGCTTAACATAGTTCAAACTATCTCATGTCAACATGCATTTTTTTATTCTTTTTTGATTTAGTATATAAGAATTAGAATTAGATTAGAATTAGACCAGGCTTATCTCGTCTCACGGATAGCTAGGATTTGTTGTTCCTTCACGAGTGGATAAGTATGTGCTGCCATTGATTTCTCCATGGCTTGTTGAGTTTCAAGCCAATTTGTTCTTTGAGCTGTCCAGTGCAGAGTTATTAAAGCTTTGGAGCTCGGTATCCACTGAAAATCATGGCAATGTCTATCAATTGCAATTGACATTTTTATAAAAAAAAGGAGTAATTTTTAGCCAAAAAAATCTTAGCATGAAAATTGTTATTAGTTTCAGGTTTTGACATTTTTTGCTATCAGATGAGTTAATGTCCATCATCACTCTGAGGAAGTTTGTTCAGATTTTTCATCGCGGTTGTGCGAAATAAAAATCATCCATGTTTAGTATCTCGGTATTTTTCAATCTGCAATCGTCTTCATCTGCACTGAATTCTAAGCCGCCGTACATTTCGATTTCTTAATTCTTCCAAATACAATCACCTTGTTATCGTGATAATTTTGCATCTCTCTTGCTCATGATAACTAAAATGGTACAAGCATGCCTGAGAAATAAGTCTCATCAATCTGAGTGTTCAATATTTACGATCGATTTGTTTCTAAAGCAGGCCTCATAAATTCTGGAAAATGCCAGGTTTGCCAGAACCAAATTAATTTTGGCAAACATTTTAATTTAATTCTGGCATTTTCTAGAATTAAGATAGCCCTATTTTTATAATTTCCATATAACTCCCAATATTTTTTTTTATTGGAGTGTTTTTATTTTTATCTTGCTCGTTCTTAAATCTTTGCAATTCTAACAAAACGAAACGACAAAACGAAGTAAAAACAATACTAAATTGATGTTGCATAAACAAAGTTGAATTGATAGATGGAAGCTACAAGTTTCCTATATGAAAAGGATTCAATTAAATATGAGCATTTTTGGCATGAACATTTTCAATTGACTTTTTTTCAGTAGATGGCTAGGCGATAATCGTTTTGAGTGTTTCAAGTTACTTCGCATGTATAAAGAAAGTCTTACCAGGTTGGTGAGGGAGTCATCTTTCTTTACACTCTTGATTTTCCCGGAGGCATTACAACGTCAGATCACATTACTTTACTTAACTCCATTTTCACTCTCGATTTGCTCCAACCTGACTCGCGGAAATTGTGTAAGGAGCACACACGCTTTTCGCCATAAAGCAATTCAAAATCTCCTACTCTATTCATGCTACCGATTAATTGCTTTGCAACTATGGACGTGCACGGGAAGTTACTCTCCACTCTTTGCAACTTATGGTATTTTGGCCGAGAGATTTGCTTGATGAAACCACATCAGAACGTAACTTGCTTATGAGACCATCAAGTTTCAATTTACGGGTTTAGGGTCACACCGTCGGTGAGTTCTAATACGGATATGTTCTTGTACAAGTAAATTCTAATATGTGTTTTTGTACGAATATGTTCTAATTGATGTTTTTGGTATGGCTTCTACGACATGCCATTGGAGTTTTAACAAAACTGGATATGCTCTCGCACGCAAGAATTCTCAACCCAATAGAATTTATCTAAGCTTCTAGACATTAAGGGTTGCACTTGCGTTCCAAAAACAATTTGTACAAGCACATTGAATCGGAGAAATCCTTCTTGGATCTGGAAATAGTGGTCTGATAGACAGTGCAATGCCAGTGGCAATACACCTTCCACCTCCAGTAATTGTCACTAATCATGAGTTTTTTTGTAAAACCATCAAATTTTGCTCGAGCAGATGTATAATACAGCACCAGACTGTAACAATGAAGATTTCTGTGCACATGAATTGTTTCGGAAAAATTCATCCTTGAAACAACGGTGTGTTCTCAAGGAGTCGATTTGACGGTGTTGTGGACCGTTCGGTGAGGTCCCATTGGGTAAATTGAAATTTGATGGATCTCATCAAGCAATTTACGTTTTGATGAGGTCCCATCAAACAAATATTTTCACTTTGGCCAGATAAATTCAGGCAAATATAGAGTCTAAAAATAGAACGCGAGATTTTATGATGCTTGTTCTAAAGTACACTTGACATGAGGTTTGAATCTTGATATTTTCTTCTTGAATCAATAAATATTGGAAATGAATCAGTTGTTTTGTTTTGAATGATTTATCATTCAAATTATAAACTTAAATAATAATATATCAATTTGAATATTTCAAAATTAATAAATTTTTAAAAAAAGTGCACACATAATACATGTCAGAAATGGAAAATAATGAACCAAATATTTCTCAAAATCATAAAAGTTATTGTTAAGGTTTATGGACTTCCTGGTCATAGTTCTCGTTACATCTGTCACTTGCAAAGTCTGTGTGTGCTGGAGTATAACAGAGATTGAGTTCGACTCGTGCACCCAATTACCAACTGGAGTCTAGGCAAAAGATTACAGCACTTGTGTCATTCACCATCCAGGAAGACCGCCAAACCCCGGGTTTCAAAGGTCTCATTTTAGAAGGTCTATGAGAAAGAATCATTTACAAACGTGGGTCAGTTTAAAGCAAAGCAAGGTGTGGAAGATATTAAATCTGCTCCCTTCTGGTCGCGAACATTTCATTCTTTCATCATTCCTAGCTTCCACTGGGAACTTCTCCACAAACCAAAGGGTGGCCAGAGGTAACTAGCCCAGTTCGAACCTCAGCCGTTTAGCAAGTAGCAAAAAGGATGGGAAGAGCCCATCACGCTGTGCAGGAAGTGTTGGAGGCACAACTTCAAAGGGCATGCCCCAGGGCGAGGGCATGCTTCCTTCGTATTCTTCCAAACGCGGCATGCCCTTATGTAAAAACAAATTAATACTTATCTCTTAGAACTTTTCAGAGTGTACATTTGAAATATAATACGTATTATGTTACATATATAATATAATACGGGCATGCCTTTTAACCTTGAAAGTGGGCACGTCCATGCCTCAAATTATTTTGCTGTGCCTCCAATCCTATGTGCGGGGCACAAAGGTTAAGCCCAAGCCTGCGACGCTTGCTTTAACTACGGCACTTTGTGAACCGTGGTAGAGAGCCAAGGTACTGTTTTGACCGGAGGTTAGTTAAAACCTTTCTGATCTAGGCGGTGAAGGTTTGGTTCTCGGGGGAGAAAGAACTTCTTGCAGACAAAGACGCAAAGGGTTGTTTGATTCTACGTGTCTGTCATGCGACTGTGAAGTCTGAAGGGAATATTTGCACTCTTTCGTGCTCGCTGTTCTCTCGATTGTGCTCCGAGCGGACCAGAGGGCTGTCGTGTAGAAACCTTGATCGATTGTCTTTCATTTTCGGAATCTGTGCCGGAGTTCATCAGCGTCCGATGCACTTTTTTGACGTAGCCAGTTTTGACTCGAAGCTTTCACCCTTCGATGAAGCTGGGCAAAAGTGGGGCCAGGAGCTTCGAAGATACGAATTCGAGATTCTGAACGTAAGACTCTTGAACTCTTTGACCTTCACTGGCCAAGAGCGGATCAAAATACGTTTGCCCGGACGTCGTTTGCACATGGTTTGAGCTAAGCAGTTGGCATAATCTAACACCTAGTGACAATTATGGACTCGAACGACTCAGAGGTCGTGCCCTCCCAGGTCAAGAAGGCAATCACTGTGGTTCTTGTATTGATTTGTCGGATGTGGACGGTGCTGCTATTTTACTGGCATCGGCCTTTTCCACGAGCTAGTATATTAGTGTACAGTACATCTCCAATTTATTCAATATTCGCAAGATTCTTAAGAAGAGAATCATGATCTTTCGAGCCGAAATTGAGCTCACCGGGAAGTGCAGCTGTATTATAAAAACGTTCACAGACCTCCTCACCGGTGACTAGACGTATGGCATGCGCCACCTCCACAGACCGACGCTCGCGACGATGGCAAACATCCATCGCCCGAGAAGGTTCCGGTGGACAAGAGTTTACGAGTACAGCGGGGTGGTTGACTTCATATCCCGTGCAATATTCTAAACCATATATATTCAACCTCGCTGGTTGAGCCTATGCTGCACACTTCTGAAGAAGAAGCCTCCAGTCTAATCCTTACGTCCAGAGCAAAACCCTGTGAAAGCATTGCACACGATTCAGGCATCGTCGTCACCTTCGTTAGCTCGAGGCTCGAGCCGACTACGCCAAGTGCCAACAGTGAGAAGGATGAATGAATGGAAAGCTGCAGATCGAACGGCTCACCGCATCGCCCAGCATTAGAAATAATAAAATCCGCATGTTGAGCAGAGGAGCGGAGATTGGCGAGACGAGGTACGTGGTCCAGCGAGCGATGCGGCAACCATGCAAAGGGCGACAGACGGAGCGGTGATGCAAAGGCGGCGGTTGGCGAGCTTCCGTGCGAGGAAGGAGGGAGGGCAGTGCAGATTGTCGAGGAGAGGACCCGTCCGAACGTGAACCAGAATCTGGGGGAGAGAAACGGAGAGACTTGGTCATTGCTGAACGGACCCGCTCAGAATTAGGACAAGGATTTCTTCTGAGGCCCTGCCGGAGAAGAGTGCGAGATCGGGATCGTCCTGTAGTGAGGTCATGGTTCGCGGGATTCGGACAACGAGGAACGAACGAGGTGAGAGAGATCGTGGCGAAATGGGGCCTAATAATGACGGCGGCGATGCAGGAGCCGAGACGAGCCGAGTTGAGGATTTGCAGCAGCAGCAACAGCGCCCATCACTACGGAAGACCCGGACTCGCTGAGGATCGTCAGCCGCGCGCGTCCCCACCTGCTTCCTCTTCTCGCGGGGTGCACATGCCACCTTTCGAAGGCGGACATTAATTTTTGGTTGCGGTTCACCAGCCTGTTGCAGCCAGATCGTTTAAGCTCCAGGCTCAGTCGCGAGCCCCTGCAGACAGCAACTCAGCATGTAGCTGTAGCCCTGGCCGCATTCCTGTGCACGAATTGGACTGTTGTGCGGAGCGAATGCTCGCACATTCGACCTCGATCGACATCAGGCTGAGAGCATTTGCGTCGAAACCATAAATGTTCTAGTTTCGATCGGCACGGAGGGAGTCGACCGATCGTCCGACCCACCGCCCTGGGGGAGCACGAGAGTTCCTCTGCCGGTGTGGACATGCGAGTCGTCTGGTCCACGGGCTTGTAGAACGGACCGAGGCGCGATGTCAGACGGCGAACTGGCTCGTGAACTGAAGCAGCAATGAGTCACAGTAGCTGAGCTGAAATGCAAAACATGGCGTCGGCGGCTGGTCTGAGGAGTTCCCGAGCGGTGTCGGAGTCTTTTAGTCCTGCACATCCCGGGAGCTCGAGAGTAGGAGTAGGAGGAGGCCCAGGGGAAGACGGGGGATTATTTGGCAATGGGGATTCGACAGTCGCAGGAGCTGCGGGGCCGCGAGGGAGGCCGATGCAGCAGTCGATAAAACCGAGGCCCGCCACGACCCGGCAGTGCGTGGTCGGGGCTGTGACAATCACCAGCTTCGCAATTCTGGTGGCTCGTCTGGCCTTCTCGTTCATCGTTCTCGACGACACCGTGGTCGATGAATTGGGGCATCTGCAGTATGAATCTCTCGGCAGCAGATTGACTCTACATGAAAAGGGAACCAATGACTCGAGTTCTATCGCTCTGGCCACTACTCACGGCTCTTGGAATCCCAAATTCTTGCAGTCTGGAGCTCGACCCACTCGTCGCAGTCGCACTAAACCCCGCATCTTTGCGAGAAAGGCTCCTCGAAGCCTCAGCGGCTCCAGTAACTGCATCAAAGGTAAGCTCTCTTCTGCTTGCCTGCCTGTTTGCCTGCCCTTACACGGCACGAACCTCCAGCCCGACAAGAGCAGAATTAGCAATTCGTGTGCACAGTAGGAGAGTCCGTAACTCCCCACGGGTCAATCAGCCCCAAGTCATGATGAGCCTATCTTTGGGCTCGAAAAATTCGCATTACCGCTCATCTTTGAGGATTGGCATGCACGTCTCAGAGCACTGCCATGTTGCGAAGCCATTTCCAGATACGGTGTCGACCACTCGTCGGGGCTCTTTTCCTCTTTCTCGTCTTGAGGTCATGACGTAGTACAGCAACTACAGCAACTACAGCAACTACAGCAACTACATGTTCGTGCATGAGAGGTTATGTCGATCCTCGCGGTGGCAGTAGAGGATTCTCTGGAACGGTGTTTACGGTCAGCAACAAGTAGCTGTCAAGGTGTTGAGCAGGAGACGGAGGAAGAACCTTCCAATTAGGCACTTCTGTCTTTTGATATTCTACTATTAGGATATTTGGGTTTAGAGCTTGTCGCATGAGTCACAGTGTAAGTGGAAATCGATTCTCACACTCTGCGGCGGGGACTAGGGCCTCGACATCAGCAGCGGCCCAGCGACTTACGACCTCTGGTCCCCTTTGAACTGTTCCTGACACCTTTTTCCTCGGAAGAGTGAAGGTCGGCAACTAGTCGTGCTCGAACTGCATGAAATGCTGTTGGATTTAGAGTGAAGGTATCTCAAACGCAACTCGCAAGGGGACAAATCGAGGTCCCTGAGAATTGCTTGAAATCCCTGAAAAGCCTTGAAAGTTACCGAGAACAAATTTGTGCTTCACGAACAGATGGTCACACCTGCCGAGCTTCTTGCTTTCATTAATGACTTGAATTTACAACCCTCTTGAAACAGATAGCTCACACGACGTTATAGTAAGAGCAGAGCTGACTCGAGTGGACTTTTTGTGTTCACAGATGGGGGAATTGAGGATGCTCTGGGAATAGTGAGCCAGGCGTACTTGAGTCCTCAGTTGTTCTATGAGGACTTCAGGGAGATGGCATGCAAATTCAAGATTTTTGTATATCCACAAACTCGCAAGGACCAGTACCAGAACATTTTCCTGCCGTATGAGGAGATGCCGACAGGAAATTATGCCAGCGAGCATTATTTCAAAATGGCCCTCATGAACAGCAGTTTCGTCACCACGGATCCTTCCAAGGCCGATCTCTTCTTCATGCCTTTTTCCATAGCCAGGATGAGAACCCATCCGAAAATTGGAGTGAGCGGTATCAAGCCCTTCGTCAGGGAGTACGTGGAAGGCATCAGCCGGAAGTACCCCTACTGGAACAGAACCAGTGGGGCTGATCATTTCTACGTCAACTGTCACTCGATAGGCCGAGGGGCCACTGACGAAGCTCCGTACATCCGGTACAATGCCATTCAGGTGGTCTGCTCCTCGAGCTACTATCTGCAGAACTACTTTCCTCACAAGGATGCCACGGTTCCTCAGATTTGGCCCAGATCCGGGTTCCCGAAAAAGGCAGCGTCCATCAAGCAAAGGTGAATGATTACTCCCAGCTCCGGTGCTATCAACTTTGGCACATCAATGGGTTTGCTTTCGAGCCGAAGAGCTGCTGTCTTTACGTCTGCTTCAACTGCAAAGCTCACAAAGAATATAGTCACTTAGATTTGAACTGGTGATAGAGCTTGGTGACTGAGAAATCGCATCATTGACTGATTGGTGTTGCAGAAAGACTCTGGCCTTCTTTGCAGGAGCGGCCAATTCGCCTCTCAGAGCAGAGGTTGCCAAGCATTGGAATAACGACTCCGAGATCAGAGTGTACACGCAACGCATCGACACTCCCTATTCCGAAGCTCTGTTGAGCAGCAAGTTCTGCCTGCATGTGAAAGGGTTCGAAGTGAATACGGCGCGGCTGGGAGATGCCATGCACTACGGATGCGTGCCAATCATCATAGCGCCGTACCATGATCTGCCTTACAACGATGTGCTCGATTGGAAACAGTTCGCCGTGGTGGTCTCGAATCTCGACATCCCGAACCTCAAGAAGATACTGAAGAAGATCAAGCCCCTGGAGTACGCCCAGATGCAGAGCAACGTGATGCAAGTGAGAAAACACTTCGAGTGGCATGTTCCCGCCCAACCGTTCGACGCATTCTACATGGTCATGTACGAGCTCTGGTTACGACGGCATCTCGTCAGATTCTCATTAGATGACTGGGCAAACAAACTCTGATTCAGAAGCTTAGACTCTTCGATCGTAGATACATACTGTATACATTCTTTTCCCAATGATTTCTGGGATTACCTAGTTAGTCTTCAAGACCGGTCGTGGCATCATGAGGCTTCCCCGACTGATGCTACCGAGTCTCAAGAGAATCGAGCTGGGCTATGGAAACCAAAGCCAATGAGGAGGTGGAGAAGGAAGAGTCCTTGTACAAACAGCTGGAAGACCTTTTTTCTTTGAGAAGACGATATAGAAGATTGAGCATGACAGTGCAGTACGCTCCAATGCGGAGCGACTGTCAAAGTTCCTTCTCGCTCTGTAACTATTTACAATTATACTTGTTCATAAATTCATCCACCAGGAAGTGACCGACTTCGTCTTCCTTTTACCACAACCACTGCCGCCCTGCTCTCATGACCTCCAAGAATTCATGCCAATCAGAACTCCCGCAAACTGGCTCGCTATTCCGCCTCGACCAAACTCTCCTCACGAAACCGAATCCTCGTCCGGAGTTCTGCTGCACAGCCCCCGAAACGATTCCGCCGAAATTTTCGGGCGCAAACTCCAGCTTATCTGCCCGAAACTGGGCCCTCGAATCGCAGAACGGGTGACGACGAGCGCCCGACGATTTAAACTCGTCATGAATGCCGTAATCAATGGACTCGAGCCGTTATCTCGAAAATTGGACCATGTTCACACCGGCCCATTTGTTTTGGTGCGAGGGTTCGGAGAGCGGACGAAGCTCGCGGTGTGAAAGGTTGCGATTTGGGCCGAGTCCCGGCGTAGGGTTTACTCGTCTGGCTTGGCGTGGATTTGGATGTGGATTTGGCTTTTGGGATGCGAGTGATGTGAGGCGACAGACGTGGTCGATTCCAATCGTTCGTGTGCGAGCATTGCGATGCATTAGCACGACGCGAGGAGGCATAGCTGGTGGGCATGTCGGTGACGGATTTGGAATTCACGGCGTTGCTTTTGCACTCGAAATGGCAGTGCTTATGGTATGAGCGACTCGTGCCTCATTCCGGCCCCGCACTCTTCATCACTCTCCCTGCAGGATGATTGGGCTTCAGTTGGTGCGAGCCTCTACTCATCCGTCACCGGGCTGCCTGCGCCGAGGCAATGTCTCGACTTCCCATCTCTGTCTGCATCGTAATTTCAATTTCGACGCTTTTGTTTCCTTCTGCTTCTTCTGGAGAGTGTTTCTCTTAATGATCGCCATTTCCGAACTGCGCGACAGAGAACCCTGGGGCTGATCAATTTTTCTCCAAAGAATGCAGGAATTTCAGGGGTCCTGCATGTTTCTGGGAATGTGAAGCCGACGAAATGTCTTGTGTGCGCGCGGTCTATGGGCACCGCAAAGGTGTTCGCATTGACCTCGGAGGTTTCAACAAGTCAAGAAGAAGCGTTCAGGATCTTAATGGTGGCAGGCGGAACTGGAGGCCATATTTACCCCGCCATAGCTATCGCCGATGAGATCAAGAATCTCAATAAAACAGCGCAGGTTCAGTTTGCCGGCACGAAGGATCGCATGGAATGGTCGGCTGTTCCTCAAGCTGGTTATGAACTCTCAGTCGTTCCAGCTGTGGCAATTCGACGGCCATTCTACTCTCTGCAGAATCTGCTTGTGCCCGCGAAGTTGCTAATCGCTATGTTCGCCTGCTGGAAGTTGCTCAATCGAATTCGCCCCCATGTGGTAGTGGGAACAGGGGGTTATGTCTCCGGTCCATTGTGCCTCGCAGCTGCCATAAGTGGGTTTCCTGTTGTTATACAAGAACAGAATGCTTATGCAGGGATCACCAATCGCCTTTTGGGTAAAATAGCGCAAACAATTTTTGTAGCATTCTGGGCTGCCACCGCGTACTTCCCCAAAGACAGGTGTATGCTCTATGGGAATCCAACTCGAGTGGAACTGCGTCAGTACGTCTCTGCGGCGGTGGCCCGTCGCTACTTTTTCCCACTGGATGAACGACGCATTGCAGATCATGGTCATTATTCGGAAAAGAGGAAGAAGAAAGAAATGGTATTGATTTTGGGAGGGTCCTTGGGCGCGCTGGCTATCAATGAGGCGGTGGCTGATATGGCAGTAAAATCGCTGGAGGAAAATTCTGAAAGACATATTATTTGGCAAACTGGACCGAAGTACTACGAGGAGATGGTCCAACGAGTCGGCCAAACACACCCTCGGCTGGCAATATATCCGTAAGAAAATGCACATTAGAGTTAGCGTACAACCCATTTGCACGACTTATAAACATAAACTCACGCGATCAGATCTATCTTGTATATTAGGAAGTATACAGCCGAGTATGCCTGTACTTAGATATGTCTCATGTGGCATAGCATCGGAACGTTAGTCTTGAATAGTTTTGCATTGTTGTTGAGTCCAAATCTCTTATGTCCAGCTCATTGGAGGCGCAGTGTAATCTGGCTACCTAAAGGTATTGATACGCTTCCTACCTCTGCAGATACGTGAGCGCAATGCACATGGCTTACGCTGCAGCAGATTTGGTAGTTGCTCGTGCTGGTGCAATCACGTGCAGTGAGTTGCTGGTTACTGGCAAGCCATCAATTTTGGTAGGCACATTGACACTCATGACCCAGTCTAGACTGCGCACAGTAATGAACTGGAATGTTCAAGCATAGAGCAGACCGGAAGAAAAATGTAAAATTCGGCGTCCTATAGCTGTTTTTCTTTCTCCGTAAAGGCAAGCGGTTGTTCTTGTCGTTTTTCAGATACCCTCAAGAAATGTCGCCGAGGATCATCAAACGAAGAATGCCGAGGCTATGGCAGAAGGAGGGAGTGCAAGGGTGCTCTCAGAGAGTGCTTTAAGTTCGTCTTCATTGGCTTCCATGATAGATGAGCTCTTAGGTGCGTGGTTTGACTTGTTCCCGTTGATGTGATGCGTGTACTAGACTTATAATAGATCCAAGGTTTTAAGTTTCTTGACAGTTCTTAACTGCGCTGAACATGTGAGGATCACGGAGCCAATTCTAGGCCAACCGAAGAAAACATGTGGTTCACGTCTGTAGCACCTCTACATCAGTTCTGTGAGAAAGATAATGGTTTTTCTTCGAGAAGGCTTCTTGAGTATTGTCATTAACTAGAGAAATGATTAGCTAATGATCAGTGTCAACATTATGATGACTCATTTCCTTTTAATAAATCAGACATTCTTTAACCAGCACTCTTTGTGTGAAGTGCTGCTTCAGGTGACGATGTTTTGCTCACAGACATGATGGAAAAGGCCCTCAGAGCAGCGACACCTGATGCTTCCAATCAAATAGCTCAACATATCATTCGTCTTGCAAACAAACGTGTATCAGGGGTTATGGCTTAAACTCATGCTGTAAGAGGCTTTTCACGAAATATTTTGCAATCAAGGAGTCAAATTATGATGTTCGTTGGTCACGAGTCTGAACAGACTCGTATCAACGTCTACTGGGTTGAATGAGCATAGACCCGAGTGCTTTACTTGGAATGATATGATACAGTGGAAGCCATCCATTAGCGGCTTCTATTGAATGCATCTCTTGAAGGTAATCTACAACACCAGCCCTAATTACGTTTCTCTGTGTTTTGTAGCTCGCGCGGGTTAATTGTTCATTTATAGATTCAATTCTTTGACTTAGAAGAGGATAAACATAGCTCCATGAAACAGAAACTTTTCTGGACATTGGCAAGCGATTTCGGGAGAAGGAGAGATGGTAGAAGAAAAGGTGTTTAGTAAAAGTGCAAAACCCCTCAAAGAGAGGAAACGCACTCAGATAACTCAAAGGCTGAGTTCTGAAGTCTAATTTACAAGGAAGAATGTAGGCCTTCGAAGTATTGATAGGCACGTAGTGAACGTAAGTCAGGTGTAGAAGGGACGGGATTCATAATTAAACATTTTTTCTCCCTTTTTGCGAAATTTCAGTTGGATAACATTTAACCCGAAACGTTTTAGGTATCTGAGACCACAATTCGAAGTAAACATGGAAGGATTGGAAGCAGTATTAAGACTGAGATTTCGTGGACGACTTGCGGCGCATGTGAATCATTACCATATGTGGGGTGGATGGCTGTGATTTTGATTGGTTCGAGAAAAAACCACCTAGGGTCATCTCAAAATGAAGTAGTAGCAACACTTATCCCTGTTCTGGAACCACACTCCGTTTTTTACAAGCTCATTCTCAATGTTGATGTTTAGTCTCCGAATTCCCAAGGAGTACCTACGCTTGCACACCCTTTCCTCGGTACCTATGTGGTTCCGGTCATCGACTCTCTTTGGATCCGCTTTTCGATTCCTGTCGTCTATTCAGACCTTTTATAGGCGATTTCTGCTCATCATGTTTATTCATCAAACTGGAATGTTTTAGTCGGTCTTGCTCCAGGTGTAATGCAAGCAGGTTTCATCTACTAGCTTTCGCCCACATGTTTTCACTCCTAATCATGTTGGCATTCTGCAGGTAAATCTTGGACGTCTATGAATTTGCACATCCTTCAAACCCAGTCAACAGTGTACATCGCTTGTATTCAAAACTCGTACTTGGCCCCTCTAATGAAGTGATTTATAAAAGTGATACATCTATCTATGTAGTTTAGCATGTGTTCCAGGTTATACTGCCAATTTTGTTTGCATAGAGAGTTTACGACCCCTTAGTTTTTGTAGCTTGTGATGTATTCTTTCCACTGCTTGGTGGGTCTAGTGAGGGGTACGCAAGGAACGCACCATATACTTTTTTTGTGTGGAGAAAGGACTTCGGTCGGCGGAAAGTAATGCTGTGATCATAAAGAGGGAAACAGCTACGCTGATGAGGTCAGTGGGGAAAGGTGGTGCCTTGGGTGTTCACCACACTGGTAATCGATTGGTCCTGGGCATCGCACTTATAACCAGACTAGTCCGTTCTGCAATTTTTTTCTAGTGATAAGACGTCATAAGATGCAATTTCAGCAATGCTCTTCGCACATGAGAGCATGTTGCTACACATCACGGTTTTTATTATTACTTTTTATTATTATCACTGTCACGCCCCGCTGAACCGCAGGTTGTGACTGTTCGAGCAAGCTCTGTGTATCATCCCTACCGCTGTGTAATTATACCCTTTCTGTTCTTTCAGCATGGTTAATGAGTCAATAGAGCAAATGCTGAGGATTGGCGAGGGCGCAATGTCGGCAAAAAGAGCCACCTAAGAGTTTGCCGTGATCACTAGTATTTAGGATAGAAACCTGTGGCAAGCAATACCAGCCCCTGTTCGTATACGTCGATGACTTCGATAGGCTTCGTGAGTATGTGGAGAAAATAGAGCGTGTCTTCTTGCCCCGTCGTTCTTTCTGGGATTGGTCTTGTGCGATTCAAACTATACGATGACTTTACTTTCTCCAAAGCGTGCCTATTTTGGGACTCCTGTGGCCTACTCTGTGCACTGTACTTGGGGAAATCGTGTTGCATTGCATCTCCACAAAAAGACCCCTGAGTCGGGTTCTCAAAATGGAGAAATTCCCGGCAGCTCACAGAACGGGATCACGACATAAGATGTTGCTAGGCTGAGACATATTTGAAACTTTTGAAACTTTTTTAATGTACGTCAGTGGTGTCAGTGACTTATCACACATTATTCTCTTGCTTCCTTCAAAATATATTATATAGCTTGAAGTTTGCACTTCAAGCAATTCATGTACAACGACTTGAACACGACTTTGTACTGCCATCCCTCAGGATTTCATGTACTACTTGATTCATGTCCTACCCTAACAGGCAAGGTGATCACCAGGTACCCGATCACCAGGTGGAAGAAAAGGATCATGTGATAAGATTTTGTAGAACATGATCGCCATTGTGGAAAGTACATCTTTTTCTTCGTTCGCAAAGTTAAGCTTGACCACGAATGAATGTGTGGCACAGGTGTGAGTTCTTGAACTTCGAGATATTTTCACAATTGTTCCAAACACAGTGTAATTCATTTCAATGTCTCATGGAATGTTAGGGGTGCAGAAAACTGCAGAGTTTACTAATTTGAGCATTAAAGAATAATCCTAATGATCGATATCCGGAACTCCCTTTGCCCTTCGCTTGCAAAGTTATCAAAGCAACCGTGGATGCCCTCGACCAGCTCGATGTTGAGAAGGTGAGGATCATCATCCATTTTGAACGTTCGGGGAGGTAACTTTGGAAAATAAAGGTCTTTTAAGAGCTGTTGAGGGTAACAACTGCAAGTGAGATACCATAACAGCATCTGTGAATTGTTTAAATCCAACGAAGGGTTTGAAACAAAACAGTGGAAGCATGCAATAAAAGTGTGTGCTGCATTTATAACAAAATCGAAACAGAGTTATCTTATGGCATTGTTTGCGTTGAGATAACCGATCTCTACTAATAGAGACGGTTAACCCGACCAATAGATTATCTCTAATAATAGGGAGGGTTTATCTTAACGCTAAGAATTGTCTCGAGAGCTAACCGACAGTCTCTATTAATATAGGTTTACACTAACCCTAATACCCCATATAAATAGGGAATTGTTAAATACACTACAGTTTTTAGCACACCACACCTCTTCCCCCACCCCCGTCACGGACAGAGCCCATCGCCTGCTACTCGCGCGTGTGCGGAGTAGCGGAGGAATAATTTTGCTGGACAAGCAACTGCCCACAAGGGAGCCTCTCACACCAGACCACACCAGCACACCCGCGACACGACCATACTGCGGTGCGCGCACGAAGTTCATCTCTCACGCAGACGGACACTCGTTCCTCTTAGAAACGGACGCTATCTCTTTCGCTCATCTCCGCAACGGATCCAAAACCAAATGGAAGACGCGCACTTAACCGATCATCGATTGGCACTCGATCCTGACATTACGTTCCCCGAGCGCGAAGACCTCGTAACACACGTCCAAAATCATGGCCTGACAAGTGGGTACGCGTATATTATCCAACGATCGGATATCAAGTGCAACACTGTTCAGCTGGGCTGCGATCGTGGGGGCCAATACCGTAAGTTTCTGAAACCTGCGGTCACTACACAGAAGCGTCCAGGCAGTAGCACCCGCCGCATCGGTTGTCCGTGGAGGGTAATTGGCAAGAAACAATAGGGCGTTTGGCAGATGAAGCTAAGCTGTTCACAACATAATCATGATTCATCAACCACCATAGTAGGACATCCTAGCAGTCGGCGATTGACAAAGGAAGTGCAGCACACTGTTAACAAGTCATTAGCTGCTGGTGTCCCTGCTCGTCCGATTTTGACGTCGTTACGTCAACATGACAGTAATTCGCTGGCTGTTGCCAGAACTATCTATAACGCCAAAGCCAAGCGCCGTCAGGAAAAACTGGCTGGGCACACACCAATTCAAGCGCTTCTGGATGAACTTCGCCAAGGCCAATTCAAACATGCTGTCCAATGCAACAACAGCGGTAACGTTGAAAGGCTTTCTTTTGCGCACCCAAATTCAATTTTTCTTGCTAGACGATTCAATTCAGTCATATTATTGGACTGCACGTATAAAACAAACAAATTTGGAATGCCATTATTGCATGTAATCAGGCGGACTGCCCTCAATACATCATTCACTATTGCTATCATATTTCTCAATGGGGAGGAGATAGACGATTACGTTTGGGCCTTAGATGAGTTCAGCAATTTGTTCAATGGCAAACTTTCATCAGTTATTGTATCAGATGCAGATAAGGGGCTTGCCGCTACGATTGCTCGCGTTGCTCCAAATTCCCGCCATCTTCTTTGCGTTTGGCATATTGAAAAGAATGTGCTTACGCAATCAAAGAAACACATAAAGGATGGTGATCGTCACACGCAGTTCATGAAGTCATGGACATGTGTTTGGCACGCGCAGACCCATGCGGATTTTTAAACAAAGAAAACAGAATTATTCATCGAGATTACTGACATCCCAATGCTTACAGAGTATCTCAGCGAAACTTGGCTTCATGATAAGGAAAAGTTCGTGGCTGCTTGGACCAATGATTGTCAACATCTTCGCAATACGGCAACATCCGCAGTTGAAGGTGCACATGCAGCTTTGAAGAGATATCTACAAGTCAGTACATGCGACTTGTATGCTGTACAAGAACGAATAGCTCATATGCTTCAACGTCAAGTTGAAGAGTACTTCGTTGCAGAAGCTACTCAGAAGATGTCAGTGCCGCATAATTTGTGAGCGGTCCCGATGTTCAAGCACTTTGTCGGAAATGTGAGCCGTTATGCTTTGAGGTTGATTGAGGAACAGAGGGGTTTGGCAGTTAAAATGATGAAAAAGCAGCATTGCTGGCTTGTCAAGGTACATTTAGACGCACATTAGGTCTACCTTGCGCGCATGACATTGTGCTAGTCGGTGAAGGATCCATTCCCTTGGACACGATCGCTCAGCACTGACATTTGCACTATACTCATGTGGCTGAAAAATCACTTGTGGATAAACTGCAAGTTGGACATCTCGATTTGTTTCAGAAGGAGCTCCAGACCCTTGAATCAGCTTATGTGGAATGGTCATATGCTCAGCAAGCTATAGCCTTGATGCAAGTCAAAGAGCTCAGTGTAGGCAAGATGTCCTCGCTTTCCAACCCATTTCTGGTGATACGAAAAGGACGACCACTTGGTGCCAAAGACAAACCGAAAAGCTCTACAAAGCGTGATCCATCAGCATTTGAGAATGCGAAGAAGAAGCGTCATTGTGGTGAATGCGGTCTGCTCCAAAATAACCACTATAGGCGCACTTGTCCGACACGCAAATCACCAGTAACGAAGTTCGCTTGACGTCATCTCATAACGAGGGTGACCGATGTACCTGCTGACGGCCATTGTGGTTTCCATGCACTCGCATTTGACCTTCATAGTAGAGGAACAACAATGAATCCAACTCACAGTGGGATACTGTGCGTACATATCTTTTGCAGATTTGTCGACAACGTAGCGCTTTCTGGCAACAAGTGCTTAGTCGTGACACTGCAGAGCTCGAAGCTCGTCTTCGTTGGCAAAAAAACTGCAACACATCAGCGCCGGTAACCAACTGGTTTCAAGCTCCAGAATGCGCGATACTCGCTGCAAGCTTGTATGCTTGTCCAATCATCATCTTGTCCGATGAGGATCATGCGACAACCTTCTTACCCTATACCACAGTGGCCGGCGGCATGAAAATCACGTTATTGCATGTAAATGGCAATCATTGGCGAGCAGCAGAGCTTGCTGCAAATAATCCATTGCCGCCTGTGGATGCCCTTTGGCAGCATCATTCCAGTAACGAGGAGTCTAACTTTTGATTGCAGCGGATCTAGGATAGGCTCGATCGTTATATATGTGAGGCTCCCTCGTGGACAGTCGCTTGTCCGACGAGATTATTACTCCGCTTCGAGTAGCAGGCAATGGAAGAGGGGGGAGTGCTAGGGAGAGAGTTGTGGTGTGATGCGGTGTGTGTGGTGTATTTAGTAAAAACTGCGGTGTATTTAACAATTCCCATATATGGGACTGTAACACCCTCCAAAGTCATTACTATACTTTACTTTGAGAGTATTCGAGGGCTCTGTTCATTGAGAGATACAAGAGCATTGTTCCATTTGTCTCAATTTCCTTCTCACAACACGTTAGCTCATGTCAGCTTTCTGTTTACACGTGTTAGTTTTTTGTTTGCACCTGTCAGTTTGCAGTTGACATCCTTCCAAGTGCTTTGAGAACAGAGCACTGTTACGCGTGAAGAAGGGCTGAAAGATTGCAAACGGCTTTGTGTGCTTGGTCTAGAGCTCGGTGATAGATTTCTTTGTTGGCGTGTGAGCTTGTTGTGGAATGTTAGGTAGTGATTCGGATTTTGACGGACTCACAGCGCCATCTATGCTGCAGTTGCTACTTTTCTACTGAGCATAGGGTTTCTTGCAGATCTTGTCATGCTTCCTTCTTCTTGTTGCTCTTTGGCCCTCTTTGAAACATCATTCTCTCCATCTACCCTTCCCTTTCCATAGTCTCCATCTCATCTTTCTTTCCCACTCGTACCTTTGGCGATTCTTTTGTACACAAGTACTAGAGACTCTTGTGTACAAAGGAGTCTTCTTGTTCAC